TGGAGGCTGTCCTGGAACTAGCTCTTGTAGACCAGGCTGGCCTCGAACTCACAGAGATCCGCCTGCCTCTGCCTCCCAAGTGCTGGGATTAATGGCGTGCACCACCAATGCCCGGCCTGGGAAGGGGATCTTGAAGATATCATAGGAAGTTAGAGCAAGCCCTAAAGGCAATGTCTGACACTCTTAGAAGACACAAGGCTGGCATGGTGGCACTCTCCTGTGTACACGGGCACTCAAGTTTTGGGCTTTTGTTTTTTTTCTTTTCAGCATCGGGAATGGAACTCAGCACCTCACACACACCAGGCAAACACTCTAGCACACATGATACAGCCCCAAGGCTGACCCTGCACTGGAGAGGCTGCGGCAGGAGGGTACAGAAGTTCAGGCCAGCAGAGCTACTCAAGACTCTGTCTCAAGTAAGGACACACAAATTCAGAGGAAAGCAGGGATGGAGGCTGGCGGGATGTGACCCGAGTCACAGGCCACCCAAGTCCCAGACCCAGGAAGAGGCAGGAAGGGGACTCCACCTGGAGCCCCTGAAGAAGGCAGTCTCCAGGTTTGAGACTTTAGGCCTCCACAACCAGAAAATTCCATCCCTGCTGCTTTAAGCCACCTGGCTTATGATCACTTATGATAACCCAGTACCCACACTGACATGCCCAAGAGGGGGCAGGGGGTGTTGTGCATGTAATGGTTCTGGGTGCTACCAGCAAGCACTGCAGGTTTCTACAGCCTTCTGTCTCCCCAGCTTGCACTGGAGGGAAGGCCCTGTGGAGACTCCCTAACCCAGAACCGGGCTCAGAACTTGCCACTCTTGTCTCAGAGATCAGGTACACTGGGCCACCCTAATTACCATCTACCACCTGCTCTGTCACCCATCTCTCAAGGCAGCTCCCCCTGCCTGAGAGCTACCTGCCTGTGTTCTGAAAGGCCAGGGTCTGTGGTCTCCTACTCTCCATGCAGCTAAGGCTAAGTAACCTTCAAGCCCCGATCTTCCTTCCTGCTCGGATGTCAAGGTGGGTTTACATGGTGCTGACACAGAGCTCGGGGTGTTGTGTCCCCTAAGAAGTCAGCCCCACCCTGGCCCACCTGTCTCCTCTGAAGGGCACTCTGAAGCCCAGGGAGGTCTGGAGCACCTGATCTTCCACATCATTTCCCCAACACCCTCCTCTCCAATCAGAAGCACACGCCAGTGTCCCAGGGTCTGGAACGGGGTTTCTGTCTTGAGACTGTGGCCGTGAGGGAGGTGAATGACACTTCCCACAGTCAAACAGTCACCAGGCACAGGGACAAGCCTGGCACGCCCAGTATCGTTTCTGGTGACAACTACTTTGGTAGAATGCTACCGGCATGGATGGGACGAGGGCCTCCACATTGCTCTGGGTCCTCCAGTGTCAGGACAACCATCCACCACCACAAAGAAGGACCAGTCTTGAGCATCTGAGGAGTGGAGAGACCCACGAACCCACACATCATGGTGATGTCTGGGATGTAGAGGTGGAGATGCAGGGAAGCAGCCAGCACCAGACACAGCTGTAGGGAAGCCGGCATACGAGGAGCATGTGGGCATGCTCCAAGTGAGGACAATGAGGGCACAGGCCAGTTGGGGCTAGTTTGGGAACAGTGTGGACATGAGAGGAGCCAAATAGGGATGATCAGACCCTGAGGTCCTACAACCGTGGAAAGGAGTTGAGACTGCCACTTATGTCAGATAGGGACACTGTGGAGACTGATTGAGGGTCTGGGGAAAGCAGAGCCCCATAGTGGTCTCTGCAGGTGTCAGGGGAGCTTACAATGACAGAGATCAGACCTATGACATCCTGCTGCTGGCGGGAGGCGGTGCACAGGCCCTGTGATTGACCAGGATCTGGATCATTCCCCAAGCCCCATAGGCTGCAAAATAAAGTAAAGGACACTGGGAAGCAGCCAGGTCCCATGCACAGGACAGACGTCTCTGTGGTGCACCTGTCATAGGCCCCAGGGGCAGAGCCACCTGAAAGGCACAAGCACCCTGCTTCTTAAATTGGTGAGACAACCGAGCTTTACTGCAGTCTCAGGGCCCCACGGAGGACAGGACAGCGCTAACCCTCACCCCTTTTATTACTGAAACAGGGTCTCCCAGGGAGCGCACACTGGCCTCAGGTTCTAACCCACCAGCCTCAAAGTGACTGGGGCTCCCAACTTGTTTTGAAGGGCAGCTGACTTACAGTCTAGGAGGGAAGGTCAGTTAAGGCCCTGTGGTGGGAGCCATCTAAGGCCCCAGGGTGGTAGAATCATCAGGGACAGTGTCAGGCTCTTGAGTGGGTTTCCCCAGCCTACAGGCCCTGCTGTGTGGGAACTCCCCAGTCACAGCACACCATGGGACTCTCCACCTCACCCAGGCTGCTATGTGCCTCTGCGTCTCAGGCTGGGAATGAAACAGCCACTCAAAAACACTGGCTTGTGGTACTACTGCCGGGGCCCCTCTGACAGGCCAAGCTTTACAACTGTCTCCCACATATGGAGGGCCTTAGGGAGAACTATGGTTGGAATGTAAAATGAAATAAAAAGATATTTTTAAAAAATGGAAAAAAAACCACCAAACCCCCTGGCTCCTGGATTTCCAAAAGTAGGAATCCCCTGTAGGAAATGCCTGGGACCATGAGAATTTTAGATTTTGAATCTTTCTGGATTTTACAACATTTACAAAAAAAGAAAAAAAAGGAGTTGGGCAGGGTGATGCAAGCCTGTAATCCTAGGACTTGGGAAACTGAGGCAGAAGTTTGTACAAGACAGCAAGTTCCAGGCCAGCCTGTGTCCCCAAAAAAAGAAAGGGAGCGAGGGAGAGAGGAGAGAGAGAGAGAGAGAGGAAGAGAGAGGGAGACGGGAGAGAGAGGAGGGAGGGAGAGGGGGAGAGAGAGAGAGAGGGAGAGAGAGAGAGAGAGAGAAGTCTTGTTAAAATTCTACCCAACTATAAATGAAAAAGCTTCTGCATGGACCCTGCCACTCATCAATCAACCCTCCTACTGCCCCGCAACATTTGCAGGGTCTCTTTTGATGGTAATCCATTCCATGATGCCACTCGAGGAATATTCCATCTGTGCATCATGTGAGTGGCTCAGGAAGTTCCAGGTTGGGAGAATTTAAGAGTTTGTTTGGATTTGGAAACCAATGATCCTCTGCTATGGCAGAGCCCTTGCCCAGCATGTGGGGCCCCAGGGTTAGTCCCAACCCTGAAAACAAAAACAATAACAAACTCCTGTCAAGTTTCTTCCCAAGTCCATGGGGACCTGGCTCCACCTTCAGGATCCAGCATGGCCTCTGTGACCTGTGAGAAGGGATCTGACCAGGAGACATAGCATCATATACCCCGCTCTCAGGTACACCTTTGGTGACAGCCACCACCCAACCCACTGGAAACCATGGGGGATCAGCAGCACTCATGCCACCAAGCAAAGCCCAGGTCCTAGGGCAAGCACGGAAATCAGTGTGGAAAGCTTGTCTCTCATGTATAGCAGCAGCTGCCCCTGGGCTGACTGTCCTCAGGGAACGATGTCACACAGGAAGTATGGGTGTACTGACTCTCACAGACCAAGGATGGAATGCTGCTCAAGTCCCACAAGGCACAGTGCTGCCTGCGACAGAGAACAGCAACCTACCCCCAAAACCACCTCTCAGAGGCAGAGAAGTGCACTTTAACAGGAGTGACTCACAGCTCCAGGTGGCCTGGGAAGATGGAGGCCCTACTCCTCCTCAGGCCCACAAGGCTCATGACAGATCTAGCGAAGGGGAGAGAGCACGGAAACCTCAAGGGATAATCATCTGCCTCAGAAGCCAAGTCCACACATCTGTAGTGACAATCCATCTCCCAGCCTCCCCATATTCCCCTGCTAAACCCACGAGCAAACTCAGAGTCCTGGGGAAAAGGACCAGGTCTCCATTGGGCCAGGTTCTCCCACTCAATTTCCTTTCCAAAGTCACGCCCACCCTGGTAAACTCCACCCTGTCATTACCCCAAGCCAAGCACAGGGACCCAGCATCCTCACCTAGAAATGAGTGCCCAGGGAAGTCCCAGTGACCTGAGGACAGAGAGTCCCCGATGTCATCTCTCAGTCCCTTCCTGACTTCACTCACCCAAGAACAGGATGAGGCGCCTCTAACTCTGGGAGGCTAACAGAAGAGACCCACGGTCTGGGTGCCAGCTGCTGATGCACAGCTGTGGCCTTGCTGGCCAGGAAGTAGCATTTTTACCTCCAAGGTCTGGCTCCCTGGTACTCCATAAGGGTTTATCTATGTTTAACTATGTGTGTCTGTGTTGACTGCATGATGTGTGTGCAGTGTTCGAAGAGGGCAGGAGACAGTGTCAGATTCACCTGGAGCTGGAGTTACAGGTGACTGTGAGTGGCCCATAGTGACTGCTGGGAACTGAACTCTGGTCCTCTGGGAGAGCAGTAAGCACTCATAACCACTGAGCCACCTCTCCGGCCTCCCCATGGGTCTAGGAAGATTTCTGCCTCCGAATACCTTCACAGTTCCTATTCCCCTCACCGTCCCCAAGGGCCAGCTCCAAGCCTGGCTCCCAATCAACACCCCTCCTCACTGAAAGATTCTGAAAATCTTCCAAAAGCTTCTTTGGACCAGTCATCTCAGACAGTAGCTGGTCCATGATAGAGTAGCTTTGGGATGTTGCTCTCTGTGACAGAGACACCTAGAACAGGCATCATACTCTGTGCTGCTTCTAAGCTTCACCTGGCTCCTTACCCAGCACTCACCGCTCTCCCTCGCAAACCACAAGGAAGCCAGGTGTGGTGCAAACCTGTCACCCAGCGCTTGAGAGGCTGAGGCCGGAGGACTGGCAATTCAAGGCCAGTTTGGGCACCCCCCAAAAAGTCCCCAAAGATCACCAGCTGCTTCCAGGCACAATCCCAGCCTCTCTGGATTTTCCATGAACACAGAAAAGTAAGGTCCAGAAAATTCCCTCACCGGGAGCTTAACAGAGTTGACATGGCCAACCAGCTTACTCACTCCTTAACATGTTTATTCAACAGAGAAACTGGATGAACACAGTATGGGGACATGATCTGTCTCTTCAAAGCTCTAAGTTTGTCACTGGTCCAGCATATAGGTCCAAGATGCCCCCACAAGTTGCTCATGATCTAAATTCTTTTAGCCCAGGGTGCTTAAAATTTTTCTTCTCCTCTTTGTTCTTGAGACTCTTGCTATACAGCCCAGGTTGGTCTCAAACTCAGGATCTTCCTGCCTCGGCAATTCTGCTGGGACTGCATATGAGGCTGCTCCAAGCTCCTGACCCCTGGTCCCTAAAGACAACTACATCAAGAAACAAGGTTCTTCACAATGATAATTAAAATGAATCAAGGTCCCCAGCATGAACCTTCATCTGTGTGGCTGGTGCCCTCCAAGGAGGAAGTAGGACGCAGGGACACAGAGGGAAGATGGGGCCACCCGTGAGCCTGGCGTAGATGACATGAGGTGGCCATGCCCGCACTTGGTCTTGACCCTGGCCTTCTGACCCTTCTGACAGTGAAGCCCTGTGGGTTGCACATCCAGTCTGTGGCAGACGAAAGCCTGCCAGAATCATCTCTAGCTTAACCCATCTCACACGTCCACGTGTGCATAGGACACCCAGCAGAGCCAGGATCTACACAATGAGTCAGCTCCGCCAGCTTATTCATCACCCCACAAGCCTCCAGGCTGAACCCCTGAATCACTTCTCAGGGATCCCTGACTAGGAAATGAGCAGATCACTAACTCATCAGCTGCATTCTTCTAACGTGCCTAATCGTGGAGGCTTTTCCCAGCCAAGTGGATAGCCATGCAAAGACAAGGCCCTTTGTTCTGCCCCTCCGGACCACGAGGGAGGGCAGAAGAGAAGGGCCTGTCTTGCTCTGTGAGGAGGCCACGCCTGGGCCAGGCTGAATGGTGGGCCGGGCAGGGGCTGCCTGGCACAGCTGGGTTGGGGACTTCAAAGACACAAAGGCCTGGCAGGTGGGACATGGGGGGGACATCGGAGAGAGGATCATCAGTTGGAAAAGCCCCAGTGTGGACGACCTTCCGCACTGAGGTGAAGCAGCTGTGTCATGGTCATTGGTGAGAAAGGGGTCAAAAGGAACAGGCAAGCAGAGAGGGGACAGCAAGGGACACACAAACCCCAAAAGAACTTCAACAGTGTGGGAAAGGATGAGCACCTCGAGGGCCTGGGCCCATGGAGGAGTTAATGTACTTTATCAGAGGTGTAGCAATCAGACACCCTCAGAGAATGGAGTCTGGTATAACTAATCTTGCAAGAAAAGGAAGTTTGTTACCAGCTAGGGACAGAGTCAATGGTGACACAAAGAAAAGAGAGACAATGGCCCTGCTGTGCCCACCAGGCTATCTCAGCTAGCCCACCTGCCCTGGTCCTCCGAGGGTGACCCCTCCTCCTACCCAGCTGCCCTCAGAATCTAGCAACCAAGGTCTCCCTACCTCTCCCCCAAGCCTGCAGATGCCCTAGAGAAGCACTAAAGCCATTCAGCACTGTGGCCAAATTTTCACGCTCAGCATCTATTCTCACCTTGGGTTCATTCTGTGTGGCCCACTCCACATGACACAACCCGCCATCAACTTTGGTCACCACATTCGTGATGATGCAGCTGGGGACACTTCAGCATCTCAGGGAGGACATGGCGGTCCTGGGGACAAAGAAGGACCCCACAGCAGACATCAGGATAGTTTGACAGCCAAGTGTGGATTCAGGGCTATTCTAGAGGGTTGGGGTTCAAGGACTTGTCTCTTTGCTCTTGGGGTGCTGGGATGCTAGTGCCTTGTGTGTGATAAGAGCTAGTATATGAGCCTAGCCTCCCAGCCATGCTTCATGGTTCTAGAAAGCCTATGGATCAACTCCAAACCAGACCTGCCTGAGTCCATTTTGTAAAACAGGAACAAAGACCCTCTCCTGGTGGTTGACTGGACAAGACAGCTGAGACAAACAAAAGCAGGGACCACACTAAATATGCCAAAAAGCAGAGTGAAGAGGGGTGTCTCTGCTTCTGTTACTGGGGGTTCATCACTGACATGGCTTTCCAGGTGTGGCTGGGGCAGCCACCTCTTTCAAGGAAACATGACAGAAACCCCTCATCCTAAACCCCGGTCTCAGAGTCCCCAACTCTGCCCCTGTGATAACCCCTGCCACCCATCAGTGAGGACCTGCCTGACTGGGAATATTATTCTTTCATGTAAAGGAACGGTAGTCGTCCCTCTGAGGCACAAGACGAACTCAGATCTGCTCTCAGGAGGTAACAAGCACTTGACACAACCAGCTGTTGCTCAGTTAGACTTTGGACCCACCCAGCACATGCCACTCCAGAGAGATGAGAGAAGGGAAGCCACAATTTCATGGTCTCTTGTCAGGAAGGGAGTCAAGCCAGGAGTCCTGAGTCCCTACCTAACCCACATGGTCACCAACTAGACTCGAGAGGGTTTTGCCTAAGCAGGAGGTCAAAGCCACAGCTTTATACTCTATGCAAGAAGCACACTGGACGCTTGGCTGGTGGTGGCTCCAAGGTGGAACACTCACCTAGTGTGCATGCATAAGGCTCTAAGTTCCATGCCCAGGATTGCAGGGCAGGAGACATAGGGGAGTCAGGGCTGCACATAACCAAAGGGTATGCACCAGAGACACAAAAGCTAATACGTGGTGTTAGCTTCTGAAAAAGGCTGACACAGGCCAATCCAGTCACGATGCAGAGAAGGAAACAGGAGAGCCTTGCACAGAACACAAGGCACTTCTTCCAGGAGACCCCACTGAGTCGCATGTTCGGAGTGCACAGAGAAAACCACATGGTCATGCATAGGAAGATCCAAGTCCTCTCTGGGGTCTCCAGACCCAAGGAGTCTCTGATATGTCAAGAGGCAGGACTGGGCAGTGTGCCCTGGGGCAAGCTAAACTGAAAGCTTTCTTCCAGAACATACTGGAAGTGAATAGGGCAGTCATGTCTCTGAGTCTTTCTTTATATTCAGATTCCTGTACCAAATGGAGCTCTAACCCTGGCCTCCCTTCTACAAGCACACAGCAGATAGGGGTCCTGGCAATGGGGAGGGGAAAGGAGAAAGTCATTCCAATCAAAACTAGGCAACTCCAAGCCCCTGAAGCAGCAGATGGGCCACCTCCAGCCATTCCTGGACACCTTAAGAACCTGGGGTCTCAAAGACCAGACAATACCCAGGGAAGGAGGGAGCTGCAACAGGGGCTGCAAGGTGGGCATCTTTAGGTGCTGGCGCCCGAGACAGCGAGGCCTCCCCTATGAAGGCCTGGGCTAGGGGTCCCCAGAAAAACAAGGGAGGGCTTGCTGGCAGCTGCACTTCCCTGGGGCAGCGCCCACAACCACTGCCAGGGACACGTTTCCTGTATGTCGATTTTTACCCATTTAAGTCCGAGGATGTGAACTCTCTTGAGAGGGTGGCTTCCACCCTACGCAGCTGCCTTCCTTCTGAAGCGCTGGGACTTCTCCCTAGCTCCCCTAGAATCCAGCTAGCCCTTTCTTGAAAGTGATGCGCATTCCAAGGCAGGGAGAGACAGACCCAGAGGGTGCTGGGACTCGCCCTCAGGCGGATCACCCAGCTGTTGGGGTGTTAAGTCAGGAAGAAGATGAATCAAGAAGGGGAAGGCGGGGGCTAGCCTCCAAGGCTGCATCCTGTCATCTCCCGGGCCGCTGGAGCCCTCTCCCCCTCCCTCTCCTAGTCCTCTCTCCTCCTTCTCCTCCTCCTCCTCCTCCTCCTCCTCCTCTCCTCTCCCCTCCTCGGGCCCTCTGAGGAGCTGTTCTTGCGAGGCTTTCCAGGCCCATCTTTTGCTCGCTCCACTCCTAATAGCGGGCTGCCACAGACCCAGTCTCGTTCTCTGAGCACCCGGAGAACCCTGCCGAGGGTAGATGCCTCTTTCCCTAGCCTGGGCCCTCGGCTCCGCCTCCGTGGCCTCCCGGGTTTCCTGAGACCCTCCAGTTGCCACCTCAGTCACGTCCTCTCCTCAGCCGCCGCTCAAAGGCGCCTTCGAGCCCCGTGAGCCCGCCAGCCTCGCCCCCATCAGCTTCCCCGCGTCTCCCAGGCCGCGCGCGTCCCGCCCTCGCGCCCCGGGACCCCTGCAGCAACCCCGAGAACTCACCTGGACCTCGGCCGCCCCGCGGCCATGCCCCATCCGCGAACACGTCACGGACGCCCCCTGCGGTTGGTGCATTCCAGTTTCCCAGCTGCGCGGAGCGGTGAGAGGCGGGGTGCTGCGGCAGCCCCGTCCCCGCCCCGCCCGCGACTCTGGCGGTTAGCGCGCTCCGAGTGCAGCCGGAAGCCACGCCCGCCCCCGCCGCCCTTCGCCGGGTGATGTAAACCAGCGAGCTCGAGCGCTCGGCGGGCACGCTCAGCGTGGACAGCACCCATTGCCGCGCTACACGGTCCTCCCTGCCTGCGAGCGGGCGGGGCCCTGGCCCGTGCGCCTTTGAGTGGAAGGCGGGAAAATGGCGGACTCCTCGGAGCAGGGCGCGGCGTGAGTTGGGGATGCAGGTGGGCGGAATGTGGGGCCGCAGAGGGGCTCTGAGCGGCCCGGGGCCCGGACGCCGCTCCGAGGTGAAGCTGTGCGGGGACTCTGGTGTTGGCGGCCGGTGGCTCAGCCTCCACGGTTTTGTGTGATGCTCGTTCTCTCGTCGCCCAGACTCGCTTTCAACTCCGGGTAGCCAAAGTCAGCCGAGTGCTGGCATGACCAGGGCGGGCAGCACCAGCTGTGACCAGGTTACTGCAGCACTGCGCTGCTGGGATTCATGCTTGCTGTGGGCTTGGGAAGTATCGGAACCTCGATCGTTTCTGTTTAAAATTCAGCTGTCCTTTCCTAAAAGGAGTTTTGAGGCACTGATGAGGAAAGAGTCGGGGAAATAATTGCTTGAGAGTAAAGTCTGGACATTGATGAAAATCTACGCCTGGGCGGGTTGATGCTAATAGCACCTGCAAGTTGTCAGGGTTAAACTCTCCCACCCACCGTAGCCGGGTCTTGTAGTGAAGCATGTCTGTCAGCTCAGGGCTCAGGAGGTGCAGGTGAGTTACCTGCCTGAGAGCCTGTCTCAAAGAAACCTGCTTTTGTTTTCTTTTTCTCTTTGAGTTCTAGAGAGAAGGGATGCTTGGGGGAAGGAAAGGGATGCTTGGGGGCTGTAGAGGGGTAGGGAAGGGATGCAGCCAGGATGACTGACAGGTGCCTGGGATGCCGGGAGATGCTGAGAGTGTTGGGGTACCCCGAATTGGGGAGGGGTTCCCAAGCTGGATTCGTCACCCCAAGAATCAATAGTCCCTATCTCGTGACGGGGGAAGGGGGTACATGACTCCTGTCCCGGGGAAGTAGATGTCCTTCATATCAAACCTTGGCATGAGTTAATTATCTCTCCCTAAGTAAATACTGTTATCTCCTTGTTTGCCCATCTCTGATG